TCAGAATGTCTTGGAAGTCAGCCGACAGCTCCACTCACACCCAGACCTAGGCCAGTCATAGGCCTGCAGTACTTGGGCTGATGGGCTTCGTGCATGCGATGCGCGATGCGTTTGTATGTCGCTGCACGACAATGTGAAGAGAGTATATTGGTTCTGTGAGCGAACATTGGGGTTTACAATATTAGGTTAATAGGTTTTTAATAGAGTTTAGCTAGAAACTCTGTATAGCGATATCAAGGGCAAATAGCAAAGGCTTTTAGAGATGGTTAGATCTACAAATTCAGAGACTTGCACATCTTGAGCGGGCATTAGACAGTCGCTAAGGCCTGGCTGCAATGCATTATTACTTGTTTCCCACTGTTGGGGCTCTGGTGCATAAATCAAGACGTTAAGACGTTGTGGCAAACGGTCGAGCTGACAGTTTTATGACCACAACAAACTGGGCCACAATGCTGGCCAGGGCAGCCTAGCAACCAGCCAAGCAATCCACCCCGTTGGAGCGAGCTAATAGGGGATTTTTATTTTGTTGAATCGGATATGACTTTCCCTTTCAGATTTCCAGCTAACTGCATTGCGGGGGGCGAGTGCTTGAGTGGGCGGGTCATGCGATGACCCAGTTAATTATGAATTGGCCGCCAATTTCGTATCGCTGAATTTGTAATGATTTTTAGCCCTGTTGTTGGCCAGTAATGAATCAATCCAATTTTCTAGACAGTCCTATTAATGTCTATTTATGGCTGCTCGAATCTTGATTCTACGAATTCATAGAGCTTGACAAAAATGAAAAAAGGAAGAGGCGAAAAAGTTAAAGTCGAGTTTCGGTTAGAGCTTCCGCTTTTTCCTAAAGCAATAATTTAATTCTAATGCCGCAACAACTTTCGAAGCACTTTACCCTGTTCCAGTTCCACTTCCACTTTCAGTTCCAGTTCCAGTTGCAGTTCCAGTTCCCCGGTTCACCAGACGCTGAGCCGGTGGCCCCTTTGTGCCGCTAATCTCAAATTGCATTTGATTGTTGCCACGCAAATGAGGTTACAGACACACGCACACACACATGCTACATATGCACTATATATTCCATATCAATTTACAGTAATTGCGGCTCACGCATGCCCTCCCGACCCATACAGCATGTAGAAAAAAAAAAGCACGTAGAAAACTTTAGCCAGAGCTAAAAATAGACATAAAACTGCAAGTAGAGTCCCAACGACTGCATAATACTCGTTCAGCTCTTCAGAGACTAACTAAATGGAATCGATTTGCAAAGTCGAATTTATTTAACTATATTTATTTATAATAATATTTAAAATCGTATTGAACGATATTTGAGAAACAAAAAGTACGAATATACTCGTATTCCCATCAAGAACGAGCATCTCAAGAATCCAAACCGAAAGAGCCCAAAACTAAACAGTTGAAATTATTTTTAAAAGCCAAAGGCAACGCAATTGGCCAAGTTGAATGAACCGCAGATGGCCCAAAACAAAAACAAAACAAAACAAAAAAAAATGAAATGAAATGTGTTTCAAAATATACGTCTAAAGGTGTGGACGAAAAATCAAATGTGAAAAAAAGACAAAAACAAAAACAATTTCTAAGTACAAAATCTAAGAGATTATTTGTAAACTACTCAAGTGCAAATGAAAAAGGAAATATATAAAAATAAATATATATAGAAATATACATATATTTAAAATAAATCCATTTATATATAAGTAACCTCACTGTACAGTAAAAACTTGTCAGCTGAAATGAATTTGATTGAATCAATCCGTCAACTCGCATTGCTCGAGTTATCTCTGAGATCCATTTCACATATTTTATCTATTTCTTTTTATTAGTTTTTTAGATTTGCCATCGCTTTCCTTTTACTTTACTTGACTTTCTTCTCTGCTCTTTCCTTTCAATTTGCTTCTTTCATTTCAATCTAAGTCACCTTCGCTTCTCCAGCAATTTGTCAACTTCACATTAGATTCATAAAAAATCAGAATCCAAAAATTTGTATAATTTTTATTTCTATTTATATCAATAGAGATTTTAAGTTTCATAAGTTTATATATATATGTATATGTATATAATTCTTATTTAATTCTCTTTCAGATATTTCGAGTATTCGGCGTATGTATAATATAAACTATATATACATCTGTTCAGCGTTAATGGATCAATATTTCAGCTATAAATCGCAATTCGTGTTAAACAAGCAAAATTTAATTTATGCTTTACTTTCGCTCTTCTTCTGCCTCTCTCCTAGTTTTGCGCAAATTTCTCGTTTAAATTGTTCACAAAATGAGATCATTTTCTCGCCTGTTCGCTCCATGAAAAAAAAAAAAAAAAAAAAAAAAAAAAACAGACCTTGTTCAAAATTTTAAATGCAGGTCAAAATTTGTATACAAACTAATGCCCGCATATATGCATACATCAAAAATTACTCACAAATATATATAGATTCATAAACATATAAACATATTCGATTCATAGCGTTGTCGTTTTTGCATTTGCATTTCCGTTCAGAATTTACTTTAGACGAGGCGTTTTAAAACGCTAGCGTTTTTGCCGCCTTACATTTTAGCTAAAGTGCAATGCTTAAAAGTAGATTTCGTATGATGACATACATACATGACATACACATCTTAGATATACATACATATCTCGTATATACCGCATTTACCTGGCACGACTTTAGGCGCGCGCGTTTTTAGCCGCTTAGCTCAGTGCAAAAAATGTTACTATTACTTCAAGTGAAAGTTCAGTCGATTGTGGGTGATGTCCAACCTACCTCACCGCACCAACAACCCATCCAACCCACCAGCTTGACACTCAAAAGTAAAAATAAAAGGTATAGCCCACTTTACACTCACCTGTTGCTGCTGCTGCTACTGCTGCTGCTAATTGTTGTTCTTCTTTGTAGTTTTATTTTTTATTAATATATATTTTTTTCAACCGGTTATATTATGTTGTTGTTTTTCTTGGTTGGAACTTGTTCAATTTGTTTTTCTTTTTCACGTTTTTCTACGTCTCTGCGCTTCAAATATGAATCGAAAATAAACCAAGTTTATTAGTTGCTCTCAAACTGTAACTATGAATGGCTCGCCAACTGTGAAAGCTGTGAGCATACACAGGCTACAAAGTGCTAGTTACTCTAGAACTGTAAGCAGCAATGACTTGAAAACTGTAAATGTTAATGTCTTGAAGGTTTTCAAACCCCCAAACAAACAAACAAACAAACAAATATTGCAATGCAATGGCATGCTCCATATTGCTATGTAAACACAGGGTATACGGTATGCCACAAATGGGCAGATAGAATGCTCGTGTGTGTGTGTGTGTGTATCTACATATTTGTGTATCTTATCTAATCGTGTGCCTTGAGCAATTTCTCATTATCAACTGATAAGAACGACGGCTGTGCCTCAAAATCGATCGTTGTGGTTACAATTTGTTGCTCTTCTTCTTCTTCTTCTTCTTCTACTACCACTAGTTGTTGCTGTCATTGTTGCTTTGTTGTTATTGTTTGTTAATATGCCGGAAACATCGTTTGTAATTTTAGTCATCAGCAATTTTGAGCCGTATTCAGAATTTAGCCAATGAGCTCATGACAAAAAGTTTCACTCCGATGACGTCATGGCCAACAGCATTGAACTTGATCGAGAATTTTATATGGGAGAAAAAACAAAAACACAAAACTAATTGAGAGTTCGTGAGGTCTGATGCAGAGAGAAAGAGAGAGAGAGCAAAACATTAGAAGAGATGATTCATAAAATATATAATGAATACGATGTGACGTCAACAAATAGTTACTAAAAAAAAAAAAATAATAATTGAATTACACTTGAATTGTTTATGTATTTTGTTAAAAAAATATTTAAAAAAAAAAAAAAAAAAAAACAATAAACTGCTAAAAGTCACAGCTCAAAAACCAGCTAAACGAGCAGCTGGTTTACCTTCAGAGATCGCTATTCAAATTGGAACAATTGTTGAGTGCACGGACACACACACACACAGAAATATATAGCCAAAAGAGACATGGATATAGACAAGTACACTTGGAAAAATTGCACTAAAACAAAAAAAACACAACAAAAACAACAAGTATATAAACAGCACGCACACACGATTCTTGTCTCATCTCCCTCTGCTGTTGTGTGCGTGTGTGTGTTGAGTATTAAATTACGCATGCATGCGCGTCTATTTTTAATAAATTTTTACCGTTGTTTACGTCCTGTTGCGCGCGTCGCTTACAATGTAAATACACGGAGTACGCGCGTAAAATGCCGGCTGCGAGTCGTATCCAAAACAAAAGCTCGCGCAACACACACCACGACCGTTCCGTTCAATGAATTAATTTCAACTGAATTGTCGTTGCCATTATCGGACGAGCCATTGTATCGATAGACATAAGGTAACACATCGAGTAACTATCGATGTCAAACCTTTCGCAAATGTTTTTCGGTATATTTATAATACTGCTTACCGTATAAAGTGATTTGCCAGCCAACAAACAATCAAATTAATAAGCAATTTTTTATTTTTTATTTTGTGAACTTTGTATTTGGTTTCATTGGCATCATGGGGAAACCTTTCATATCAAACGAATCAGGCGCCATAAGTAAAGTAATCGATGGTTACTCATCTACTCTATTTTGTAAGTAAAAGCTTACAAAAAGTGACTCACAGATGGCGCTAGCATGATTTGGCGGGCATAACTATAAATTCGCTTCAATTGGAATATTGTGGAATATTAATAAAATCACATTTATTTGGAGTATATTCGATCAAAGACGCCCAAAAAAACAAACCAGACACGAAACGTTGCAGTTTGCATTTTGTTTTTTTAACGTGTTATCTAGCATCGCGAGCTGGCAAAGTATATTTATGAGGCAAAGAGCAGTTTATTTTCAAGCCAGAGACGCAGCTCGGAAAAGTGCTGAGCGTGTGATTTGTTCAAAGACGGTTTCTCTCGGCTGGAGCCGAGAAAAGTGCTAAAAATTAGCCAGTCAGAATTAAGAGCTGCAACAGTGCAGTAGTAGCAGAGATCGCCGGAAAAACTTGGAGGAAATGCTAAAATCTTCATTATTACTCCTTTTGGGCTTCGCGATGACGCCACCTGGTTGCGCTACGGGTATCTACAAATTGATCTTCGCTTAAAATTCGATTTAATATGAATACATAATTTCATTGATAGTTGCTCAGCCTATAATTTGTCGCCCGCAATCGCAGCGCAACATCATCTTTCCCAAGGAAACCTTCGACGAATGCTTTCTGGATGAAGAACAGAAGATTCCAGGAACTTGTAAACCGCTGCAGGATTGTTCCGCTGCCCTAAAGGAAGCAATGCCCAAGACCTGTTACTTTGTCAAATTCGATCAGTATGTGTGCTGTGCCTCCAACTCTAGCCAACCTGACGATGACTCACAGGTGGCGCCAACAACACTAAAGCCGCCCGTAAAACGGAAGAGCGGTAAAGGTTTGTAGGGCAGATATGCAACCATAATCAGTTGCTAACAGTCGTTGATTCGTCTCTTACAGTTTGCGAGGAATTTAACTTCTTCGTCGCCTCCGTTGTGGGTGGCCGTCTGACCAAACACCGAGAGTTTCCCTTTATGGCCGCCCTCGGCTGGCGCTCCAACTTCGATCAAAGCATTTACTATCGCTGTGGCGGCAGTCTCATAGCGCCCAATTTCGTGCTCACAGCGGCGCACTGCATCGACTTTGGCGGACAGAGGCCCGTAATAGTGCGACTAGGCGGCGATAATCTGACCGTTAGCACGGATGCAGTTCCACACGATCATCGAATCCGTCGTATATTTATCCATCCCGGCTACAACGAGAATACCGCCTACAATGATATTGCGCTGCTTGAGCTGGAAGAGCACGTGCCACCCAGTCTACGTCCCGTCTGTCTCTGGCAGGATGCGAAGTTGGCCAAGAAGGATCTGATTGCCGTTGGCTACGGGCAGATAAGCTTTGCGGGTCTCTCCTCGTCGCAGTTGCTCAAGGTGGATCTACAGCACATCAGCAACGACCAGTGCCGAGAATACTACTCACGCGAACAACTACCCAAGGGCCTGGCTGCCAGCCAAGTGTGTGCCAGCGACTTGAGCGGCAAGGCGGACACCTGCCAGGGTGACTTCGGTGGGCCGCTGGTCATGAGGCTTGATGACAATACATGGTATCTGGTGGGCATCACGTCGTTGGGCCAGGGCTGTGCCATCGGCCCGCCCAGCATCTATACGCGCGTGTCCAGCTATTTGGACTGGATCAGGAGCACTCCTTGTTTTCGTTACAATTTCATTTGTTAAACATTTCTATATATATATATATATATATATATATATATATATATATATATATATATATATATATGTGTGTGTGGGTGTATGTGGGTGTGGGTGTATCTATTCAAAAACTTTCCATATTTAATAAGCGCCGATTCATCGAATATACAATTTCCATATGAATAAAACGGAATGTCAATTAAACTATATTATATTAATTAAATGAGATCATGGAGCAGACTAAAAATAGTTGCATATCAATTTCTTTATATTAATCTATACCAATTTGTTATTAAATTATTCAAGATTCGAATTTCACATCAAGTATAATCGTTACCTACTTTCTCGGTTTTGCGTGCAGCATACTTTGGGTATATCTATATGGATGGCATCTAAAAGTATGCTTCATAAAGATATGCAGAAAGATACTCTGGAAAGCACACCCCGAGTGTTTCCCATAATAATATATACACTATATATATGTATGTATATAAGACATGAATAATAAAAACAAACATAGTTAAAAATTAATTCGCATTTTTTGAATGAATTAACATTTACAAGTAATGAAAACTCAATAAAAAATTGGAAAATAAATACAAAATAAATATATTTAATGAAGACAGTCGACAATTAAATTAAGATTCCATGCTCCAATTGATTGATCGGTGAAGCACAGACTTGCCGCTTGAGTAACGTTTGAAAATAGATGAATCAGCGGTATATTCCCGCTTATTGAATGAGTGTGGGCCGTTCCCAAGCGAGAGCTGTGATTTCCCGGCACTCAGCTCTCAGAAGGATATGCGCAGATCGAACGTGGGATCCACTGTCTGATCCTCGGGCTGGGGCCAGATAATGCTCTCGATCCAGTCCAGATAGCTGGACACGCGCGTATAGATGCTGGGCGGGCCGATGGCACAGCCCTGGCCCAACGACGTGATGCCCACCAGATACCATGTACTGTCATCAAGCCTCATGACCAGCGGCCCACCGGAGTCACCCTGGCAGGTGTCAGCCTTGCCGCTCAAGTCGCCGGCACACACTTGGCTGGCAGCCAGGCCCTTGGGTAGTTGTTCGCGTGAGTAGTATTCTCGGCACTGGTCGTTGCTGATGTGCTGTAGATCCACCTTGAGCAACTGCGACGAGGAGAGACCCGCAAAGCTTATCTGCCCGTAGCCAACGGCAATCAGATCCTTCTTGGCCAACTTCGCATCCTGCCAGAGACAGACGGGACGTAGACTGGGTGGCACGTGCTCTTCCAGCTCAAGCAGCGCAATATCATTGTAGGCGGTATTCTCGTTGTAGCCGGGATGGATAAATATACGACGGATTCGATGATCGTGTGGAACTGCATCCGTGCTAACGGTCAGATTATCGCCGCCTAGTCGCACTATTACGGGCCTCTGTCCGCCAAAGTCGATGCAGTGCGCCGCTGTGAGCACGAAATTGGGCGCTATGAGACTGCCGCCACAGCGATAGTAAATGCTTTGATCGAAGTTGGAGCGCCAGCCGAGGGCGGCCATAAAGGGAAACTCTCGGTGTTTGGTCAGACGGCCACCCACAACGGAGGCGACGAAGAAGTTAAATTCCTCGCAAACTGTAAGAGACGAATCAACGACTGTTAGCAACTGATTATGGTTGCATATCTGCCCTACAAACCTTTACCGCTCTTCCGTTTTACGGGCGGCTTTAGTGTTGTTGGCGCCACCTGTGAATCATCGTCAGGTTGGCTAGAGTTGGAGGCACAGCACACATACTGATCGAATTTGACAAAGTAACAGGTCTGTGGCATTGCTTGCTTTAGGGCAGCGGGGCAATCCTGCAGCAGTTTGCAGCTACCTGGCATCTTCTGCTCCCCATCCAGAAAGCATTCGTCGAAGGTTTCCTTGGGAAAGATGATGCCGCGCTGTGACTGTGGTCGAATGGCAGGCGGAGCCGCTATTGATGAGAAGGTATACAATTTATACTAAATGTTCAAATGGGACTTTTAACAAATGGGATTTTTGTGAAAGTGAAATTTTGTAGTTTACCCGCAGCGCCGCTAGGTGTCGCCATCGCGAGGCCCAGTAGGAACAACAACAAAGCGTTTGGCATTTTCTCCTCGTTTTTCGTTTTTCTGGCGTTCACTTTCTTCTTCTGCCGCTGCTACTGCTGCTGCTGCTACTGGTGCTGCTGCTCTTCTCCAGACCTCACTTCTGACTGGCTAGCGCTAGGCGCCTGCGCCGTTTGTTGTTTTCTGATCGACTGGGAAGCGAAACCAGCCAGTCAACTCTTTCCGAACAAATCACACGCTTATCGCTTTGGCGAGCTGCGCCTCTGGCCTAACAATTGTTGTTTGCCTCATAATTAGACTTTGCCAGCTCGCGATGCTCGAGAACACGTTCTTGAACGAATTGATACGAAAAGATATTCACCACAATAAAAATAATATTTATGTATATGCTATATAGGTTTTGCCACGCCTCGTTCTGTCAGTTACCTTTTAACAAACTCATACTCTGGATTTTCTCTATTAGATAGGTTCAATGCTTTTATGAAAGAAATCTAATAATGAAATCGATCTATTATATTTCATATTTTTGACTGGCTCTACTCATGCCAAAGTTAACTCATGTTCCCTAGATAAGACACCGAGTGAAAATTAAATTACTATTTATACGATATATAAATATATATACTCGTGTACAACAATAATTATTCAAGATTGAAATTATCCTCTGAAATTGTAGATTCTCCATAAAATCTATATGATATACTATACTATATAGTATTTAGTCATACATATATGAAGGTAATATATAGTGCCAGATTGTAAACAAATTCTGAATTATTAGATTCTTATTTATTTCGTATTTCTGATACATTTAAAATTTGTTATTTTAAAAGAGTTTCTTTTCCTCATTGCATATAAATATAAATATTTATTTGCAGTAAAAATTATAATTGGGCGAAACAAAAATTGTTTATTCATAAATATTCCGCCGGAGTGGCGTGATTTTGGATCACGATAGTACAGAGCAAGGCAAGTGGATGGATATTGCGTTACTTGGATTGCCGGACTATCAAAGTACAGTACGACACACTCGGCTGGTACAGTGAACACTACGGCTAGAGAAACTTAGATGCTAGGCGCGACAAGGTCGTATATCATTCGCCGACTAGTCGGAGAGCAGAACAACATCGTCCCTGCAGCCGCCTGGCGGCGGAGCTGGCGATGGCTTCTGCTTGGTGGGCGGGTCGTCGCTCTTGCGCAGATACTGGCTGATGAGCGCGTTCTTGGTGGCCGCATGGAACTGCTGATCGCGCGGCACGGACATGAGCAGATTGACGCGTTTCTTGACGCTCGAGGCTCTTGTGGCGGCTGTCGATGGTGTGCCTGTGGATGCGGTGGGCGTGCTGGCCGCCGAGTCCTTGGCCTTGCCCGCTTTGTCGACGTCTGTCTTGGGTGTGCCAGGCGCATCAGCCGCCTCAACGGCAAGCGACGCCTCTGGCAAGGAGGTGTCCGCCTTGCTGACCTTGGGCGTGAGCGTGTAGTTCCATTGATTTTGCAGCGTCAGCTCGTCCAGGTGGAATCTGTGCAGCGTTTCAGCCGCGACCACCCAGCAGAGGCGCTTCTTGGGCTTCTTCGACTTCTTTGCCTCGGCGCCAACCGATTTCTCGACGGGCTTCCAGGTGGCCAGCTCATCGAACTTCTCGCGCAGCATCGTCTTTGAGGGCAGCATCGTTTGGGACTCCGGCGTAATCTGGGTCTTCAGATACTCCAGGTACTCGGCGATGAGGAACATTTTGGCGTTGCTGTTGCCGTGTATAAGCCGGACCAGCTGCTGCAGCAGCTGCTCGTCCAGCTGCAGTGTGGCTGGCTTCGCCTTGGCCTCCTCCAAGGGCTCCTCCTCCTCGCCGGACTCCTGCGGCGGCTCCAGCGTCAGCGGCTGCAGCTGCCAGCAGCCGTACATATCGATGGTCTGGATGAAGACAGCCGGGCACAGCTGCGACTTGTTGCCGTCCTCGTCCAGCCAGACGGGCCCCAGCAGGCGGGGCTTGATCTTTTTGGTCTGCTTCTTCATCTCCTGGGCGAACTCCTGCTGCAGCACCTGTAGCTTGGCCTTCTGCGCCTCGCGTGTATTGCCATCCTCCAGCTCGCCATCGTTCTGCAGCTCCTCGTCGCTGAGATGGCCATGGGGCACAAACCATTCGTTGTACTCCTCCTCCGACTCCTCCTCGGACTCGCGCTCCTTCTCATCCTCGCTGGCGCTCAGCGACTCCCCGGGCTCCTCCTCCTCCCACTCGCAGTCCGAGTCCACCTCGTAGTCGAAGTAAGCCTGTCATATGGGAATACAAAGATTTAAGCTATGGATGCACATTGAGTTATGGAATCTATGGCGCACCTTATCCTGTCCCAGTGGGCGGCGGGCGGTGATCACTTGGCTGCGCTTGCGCCAGGTGCCGTAGTAGGGCGGGCGACGATTGTCCGCAAAGTGCAAATACTTGGCCCGCATCCATGGCACCTGCTTCGGCCGCTCCACCACAATGGGCGTGCCCACCGCATTGACCAGGTCATCTGGAAGCGATGCAGAGATGATAATAGTGGAGCCGTCCAAGGGCATCGCTTCGCAGTACTTACCGACCACCTGGACGTCGTCGTCATCCTCCTCGTCCTTGGCGCACCGCTGCAGCCGCGCGTCCCGCTTGCTGGCCAGCGGCTTGCGCTTGCCCTGGCTCAGTTCGTTCAGATAGAGATGGGCGCGTGTGGGACGCTTGGTGCGCCCAATGCTCTCGTTGAGATCCTGCCCATCCTCGTCGCCGTCGTCCGGCACATGGAAGAGCGTGTCCAGCAGCTGGCGCGTGTCGGCGGCAAGTGTGGTGCGTGTGACGGGGGCCACGATCATGTCGTCCTTCACCTGGAAGGGCCGGAAGGCGAGCTGCTGGTTGCCCACGTGGCTGGGATCGCAGTCGCTGCTGTTCTGCTCGTGCTCCAGCGAGCCGCTGATGGACTGCCTCGGCTGCTTGGGCACAAAGAATTTGCT